GGGGTGGGGGGAGAAGAGTATGTCTCATCTACTAGTAGCTTTTGTATTGCCTCAAAGCTTTATGCTTCTGACCAACACAACCATCTCGTCTTTCTTGGAAGCTGAGCATGTAGGCATGTAAGCAGTACAGTCTCACTCATGGCGGGCTGGAGAGGTTTGAGTTACAGCAGCTGTGTACCAGTGGCAGCATAAAGCCTAGCACAGGATATAAAATAGACACACAGAGCTTGATTCTGCCTTGTCTACAACTTCTTCCATTAGCAAAACATCTTCATTAAGATTAACTCAGCTATGTCCACTCTATACAGCAGTCACTGCAGATAGGGCTTTGCAATTTGCAGTGCATATTGAGGGTCATTATACAGACATCTCCAATACTTTGTATTTTATCTGTAACAGCTAGCAGCTTGGGAAAACAGAGTATTTAGCATGCACTGTGCTCCTTTCAATGCAGAGTAGCAGCTGGTAATAAGGTGGAAGTTATTTAACATAGCAGTATATTTGTGACTCACTAGTCAGTGCTTTGAGCATTACAGGCTGCAAAGTCTATTTTTAAACAATGAGATCAAAAGAACTCAGGGCTGTCTCATTTTCTTCTGGCTGTGGGTTCATGCCTCAGCTATCATTAAGCCCTAGCTGGAAACAACCCCTTAAATAAGTGCTTTAGTTTGGCCTTCTCCTAGGAGCACCATTGCTAGGAGATGTGGAAGGACTTTGAAACATCCTTAGAGACCTGCAGAACTGTTAGACTGAAATAACTTCCACGTCCACAAAGTCCCGATTTGCTCTCCTGTAAATGCCCTTGCATCAAACCTCTGCAGGTGAGCTTGCTGCTAACAAACTTCAGCTGAAAAAGTTACAGTTTTATGATAACATAATTCTAGCCCTTAAACTGTAGGCAGCTTAGGACTCTATTAGGTTTAGATTTCAACAACATTTTAATGTCATTCAATATTTCAAGTGCTACTATTTTTGACTCACAGTTGTGGTCACTGGCAGAGACACCAATAACTTTGTTCTGGAACAACTTCACAACTATTTGTTTGGGAGAAGTTGCTGCCAGGAGAGGAGGGGGTAGTCTCAGCCCTTTTCCTGTTCAGTCTTTTGGCACCTTTGCTGCGACTGCCTGCAAGGTTGCCAGTTACTACAGTTCTACAGTGTGGATGCTTATCCTCTCTGACAAGCATTGAATCATGTCACACAAAGTGTTGAAGCACTGTCTGGCTTCCAGCTACTACAATGCAATTGTAGCATGGCCTAGTTTTGAACTAAGAATAAAAGGCTCTCTATTGTGTCTTTAGTCCTTTGAGTCATGAGGTGGAGTTGGCATATAGAAGTATTTGGTTATGTCCTTCCAAACTTTCTGGTATCAACTTATCTATAAACATGCATACTTAAAACAAGGCTTGCTAAAGGGCCTCAAATTGTCCTGCTCTGGAAATATGAAACTCCTGTTACTCTTGCTCCTCTTTAGGCCTTATCTGTTGGTGGCTGAGGGCCGGAGCAGCCACACACATACAGGCTGTAAGTGCTATCAGGCAAAGCTACAGTTAACACTGTAATGCTGTTTCAAGTTAAGGTACTCCGCACGTTAAAAAAATCACTGCACTCTTTGGCTGTACAACAGAGAGCAAACCCTGCAGGCCATGAGCAGCACAGCTGATTTCAAAGTATTGCTCTTCGCTGTCCAGTACAGCAGTGACAGTTAACATGCACTCTAAGGGCATGACCACTGCCATGACTGCAGGGAACATCGTGCAGAGACAACCAAGCCAGAGCAAACCTCAATAGGGATATTTTCACAATCTGGGGGAAAGCTGGAAGAAGTGCTATCCTAGACATTAGGACTGACTCTAAATTAAGAATTTCTACCATTCACTGATATTTATGAGCACCACTCATAGCTGTGTGGCTTTGGTGCTAAAGTTACTGTATGTATGGTGCTGTGTCTCTCAGCCTGGGCCTTACCATATGGCATATGTGTCAATGTGTCCTTCACTAGAGAAAGCTGCAGCACTTGGGCCTTTGTTTGAGACACAGGAGACTTCCCCTCCCTGAGCATCTTGTAGCTGCAGTAAGGTCAGTTAAAGGTACAGTTCCATGCAGCTGGCATTTGAAGGTAACCAGCCTTCTTTGCACTAGACCTGTCTGATCAACCCCTCCTACCTAGGGCATCAGCTTGTTTAGCTTGCCTGGAACATAATCCCAGGGCTGTCTGATTCATCTGGCAGGAGCACTATGGTGGGCTGAATGGACTCACTGTCACCTGGATCGGGGATGGAAACAACGTCCTCCACTCCATCATGATGAGTGCTGCAAAGCTGGGAATGCACCTGCGTATTGCGAGTCCCAAGGTAAGAAAGCCATGTGGATGGAGTAAGAAAGGCAAACATTGCCCATTCTTCTCTCAGCCACTTGGATAATCCCCAAGGGCCTCAGTTAGTGGGGATGGCACATATCTTGAGGGCCAGCTTTTAGAACCAGAGTTCAGAATCCTGATTTAATATTCCAATGCAAAGCAGGAGTAATTCACACAATCACAGAATCACAGAATCAGCTAGGTTGGAAAGGACCTTCATGATCATCAAGTCCAACTGTTAACCTAGCACTGACAGTTCCCAACTACACCATGTCCTTAAGCACTAAGTCGACCCGACTCTTAGACACCTCCAGGGATGGGGACTCCACCACCTCCCTGGGCAGCCCATTCCAACACCTAACAATGCCTTCTGGAAATAAGTGCTTCCTGACATCTAGGTCTAAACCTTCCCTGGCACAACTTGAGGCCATTCCCTCTTGTCCTGTCTCTTACTACTTGGTTAAAGAGGCTCATCCCCAGTTCTCTGCAACCTCCTTTCAGGTAGCTGTAGAGGGCGATGAGGCCTCCCCTCAGCCTGCTCCCGGTACGACCTGTGCTCCAGACCCTTCACCAGCTTCGTTGCCCTTCTCTGGACACGCTCGAGTCATTCAATGTCCTTTTTGTAGTGAGGGGCCCAAAACTGAACACAGGAATCGAGGTGCGGCCTCACCAGTGCCGAGTACAGGGGTCAGATCCCTTCCCTGTCCCTGCTGGCCATAGCTAGTGCTGACACAAGCCAGGATGCCATTTGCCTTCTTGGCCCCCTGGGCACACTGCTGGCTCCTGTTCAGCCGTCTGTCAATCAACACCCCCAGGTCCCTCTCTGACTGACAATTCTACTGAGTTCAACTTCAGAAGGGCTGAGGGGAATTAATGACTGAAGTATAAATCACAGAGAATAATAATTCCATTTGAGAAAGTGTTACAAAGTCATCCAGTGCCCTCTGTCTTTGGAAGTTGTTTCAGATTGATGGAACTGTTGCATCTTGGTTGGCTCAGACTGGTGATGTGGCTCTTTAGAATGTTACATTGTAATACAATATAAAATATAAAACAAATAATCAACTTAGAACAACAACAAAAAAAAGAAGTATAAGCATTTCATTCTGTAACTGTTGAAATAATTTTTCTTACCTTATCAAAACACTCTACCAGCTTATCTCCAAAATAAACTTTCAACAAAATCAGCATAATTTCCTCAAATTTTACAGTTCTGTAAGACATTCTACCCATAGCAAATGGCTCAATCAGTATTTTTCTAACCAATGATCAGTAAAGATCTTATATACATTCCATGATATGTTACCTATCATCTCTTTGGCAGGGGTTTGAACCAGACCTCAGAATAACTGAAATAACTGAGCAGTACTCCAAAGAGGTAGGAACCTAAGAAATAGCCTAGTAAACTAGTTTGAATAGAGTGTATTTTCATTATAAACTAAAAGAAATGAAGTTCCATGTCTTCCTGATCTTCCTTATTTTATTCACATTAGTATGGCACCAAGTTACTTCTCACAACAGATCCTTTTGAAGCTGCAGACAGTGCCAATGTCTTAGTTACAGATACGTGGATAAGTATGGGACAAGAAGAGGAAAAGAAAGAAAGACTAAAGGCATTTCAAGGTTATCAGATTACAATGCAGGTAAAATTTGAGTTTTAGGTTTTTGTTAATGCTTTTACAGTTTTCATTGATAAAAATCAACATCAGCAAAGCATGGGTTTGATTTTTTTTTGAATGGGGCCATGGAACAACCCCATGCAAACCTTCCTCCAACTTGAAAAACATGAAAATAAAAAAGTTTGAATTATCTTATACAGTTCACATGAATTGGCCTCTTTCAGAGCTTCCCAATATCTAACTCCAGAACATGTACAGGAGAGCTACCCCTTTACTTCTTTACCTAAAAACTATTTCTAACTTTGAATTTCCTCTTTGCTACGAGAAATGATCCCTTATATTGAATTTAGAATGAGCAGCTCACAGATTAACTCTTAAATGCCTGGACAGCATTTGGGGCAATTTTGTGTATATCTGTCAATGAATAAAACATTAAATACATGTCTTTAAAATCATCTAGTTGAAATGCTTATCAGCACAAGATCAGTTAGAGAAAACAAGGGATAAACTATTAATTATCAAAGGTGAAAAGGACATTTTCCTTGCTGATAAAATTACTGGTTTGATTGACTGTATTTTAACATAAGTTCACAAAATACTATTGATCGGTATGTCTCTGAACTGGCCTAAAGTGCTTTAATTCATAGTTCAGTGGCATCAGATCAATATATTATGAGTGACAATATCAAAAGAAAAAAAATATAGCCTTTTAAATTATGATTTAGCATGTTTTTATTGCAATTATCAATAGTATTGCACTTTATTGATCCATTAGGTCACTGAAATTTTTAATCCTCTACAAAAGCCAGAGAAACAGGAGCAAATATTTGACTTTTGTGAAGTCAGCACTGAACTCCTACTGACTTAAATGGGGATATTCCCATCTTCTTCACAGATGAAGAATTCTTTTGAAGTCAGTGGAATTCTTCTGAGTTCATCATCCAAGTAACAAGAGTGGGAGCTAAAATAAAATTTGTTAGCCTTAAAAGATTTTATTAACGTCCTCAGATATTTCTTTATTTTTATATGCTTTTTTATCTATAGATGGCAAAGTCTGCTGCTTCGAACTGGACTTTTTTACATTGTTTACCTAGAAAACCTGAAGAAGTTGATGATGAAGTATTTTATTCTCCACGGTCATTGGTTTTCCAGGAGGCTGAAAACAGAAAATGGACAATTATGGTAAAAAAAGAAGATAATAGTAGTTAGAGGTTAGGGTCAGCTTCTGTTCTTCCTTACACTACAGGCTTGGATTCAGTCTGGTTCCTCGATAAATAGTAAATGTTAATACATATGTTTCAAATGCACCCCACAGCACATCACAGTTTTGACTATAGGCAACATATATATGTAGCAAAAATACTGCTGGACACATATGTGACCTATTTTGATGATAATCTACTGTTGCTTGACCCAGTTTTTATCACTAAGTGAAATCTACAGTATAAGCTGTAATTTTTTGGTATCCAAATCACTGGGTTTACTCTAATGATTAACTGAGCTGCTCAGTTTTAAAACATGGTAAATGCTGAGGTCCCAGGGACTGGTCTCACAAACCGTAATTTCCTAAACACTTAAAGCTAGAGGTTCTGAAACATTCTCTCAAGAAAAGCTGCCACTGACACCAGTAGGAACTTTCCCTGAGGAAGTACTGTAAGAGCAGAGCTTTGAAGGACCCTGAAAGGTTATGGTGTGGGTAATACTGTGTGATCCATGGGAACCATGAGAGGACACTTGGCATTTAACATAAACCACAACTACCCTCTCAGCATTCCTAGAATTTCAGAAAACTACTGCCAGATCTTAGTAACCTTTTATTTACTGGAGGCTTTAGAACCATCATGTTGACAAAAGCTAGTGAAAACTCAGAGGTGAAAAAAATCCCAGAAATTACATTGTCATATCTCTCAAGCAAACTCTGGATGTGCTCCAAGTGAATAAGTGGTTGAGTATTGTATTTGCCAAAACTCCAGATTTTGAACATGGTCAAAGTTATTAATAAATTTGTGTTACATTCGTAGTTTTCACCTTAGAATTTAAAAAAGTACTCATATTTTTTAGTTTAACATTGCACTGTTTTTAATTGTCCTAAATATTTTTTCAAAGAAAATAAATCCTTTACTTTGGGTTCCAGCTGCACATCTTTTTTCAGGGTTAAGAAAAATGTCATATTTGTATTTTTTCAAGCTATAAAAATAATAACTGGATAGATCTTGTTTGTACATTATTTTCTACCACTTTCAACTCAGACAGCAAACTGAAAAGTAAATTATTTTCTCAGCTGTAATTCCAAACACGTCTGAGTGCAGCTACAACATGGTAGCAGTGAGGGGCTGCACAGCTGTGTACTCAGTCCCCACTGCATGCTTGGGACTGCCTAGCACACTGAGCAGGGTTGAAGGGAAAGGAAGGACAGGCAATGAGACCTGGAAAACCCTTGTAAGTCCAGTTATGGGCCAAAAGAACAATTTGCAGTCAAAAGCTGCTGTGAAATTGCAACAGCCTGAACCAGGTAATTAATACCTTGTCAAAACCAAGCAAGCATGGGGTTTGTTACGTACACAGGTGTGGGGAAGACAGCAGAGCTGGTCCAACGCCACATTTTATTTAGCTGACATTCCCATTGGTCTTGTTTCACAGCCATCCCTAGCGTTTGTTGGAGTACTAGGGGGAGGTCAGGAGAGGTAGATGACACACTATTAACTTCAGTGAGGATTTTCTATGTTTTTCTACAGAAAGCATAGCTAAACTGGGATAAATTTCAAAGTCCTGATTCTAGTATGGCTCTCACTGATGCTAATGGAAGCTCTGCTGAAATCCACAAGCAAACACATGTGCTGTTTGGCTGCCTACAGAATCTCCTAGCAGTAGCTGAGGATACAATATATAATATGCCAGAAAGGCCTTAGCATTTGATCTAAATGCTTTGTCTGAATTTCTCCTAGGCTGTCCATTATATATTTTGTCCACACTAAAAAAATCTATCAGCTGCAACACAGAACATCCTAACTGATTTTAAGCTCTTTCCTGATTCATCATCAGAAATTCTAGCAAATAAATCTAAGTGTGCAGTTTTTGTCAGGACAATAAGTTTCAGCACAAGACTTTAGAGCTGGGAATTATTTTCCCCTTATTTATTTTTATGGAGTATCTGTTTCCAGTGTGATTGGATTTTTTCTTTTCTTCCTCCTCTAGGCTGTCATGGTTTCCCTGCTGACAGATTACTCACCACAGCTACAAAAGCCTACATTTTGATGCTTGGATTCCTACCAAGAGAAAAATATTCCTCATCGGCAGAATATTCTGGTCCATGAGGACATAGATCTTCTTCGGAAAGGATCAAGGCAATGAATGATTCTTTAATAAAACCATATAGTTAGCTGTATATTATTGCATTACTTTCGTGAAAATGTTCAAGACAATAAACACCATTGCAAAAGCTGCTTTTCTTCTTGATGCTCCAAGTTGGCTATCCTCTCTAGTGATCAGCATCATGGAAAATGTTCCAAGGTTGCACTTTAATGATTTAACTACCAGCACCATAAGCATAATATAGTCTATGCATAGCTGTGCTGGAACTCGTATAGTGTAATATGACAGACATAGCCTTCTCCCTAAGCCTGTCCATTTAGTTGCTGACCTCAGGAGGTGTGCACAGGTTTGCTTTGGTTGCCTGCACTTCCTGGGCACCCTGGCTCCTGTTTCTGTCCTCCAGCCAACCTCCAAATCCCACTCCTGTTTGACACCAAAAATATAGAGACCTTGTGAGCATCATCTTCCTCCATGACATTCCTGTGGGCTGGCACAGGGGGATATTGCTGCAGAATTGGAATAGAACAGCTTCCACAGAGTTGGATGTGGCAGAGAGACGGCTGGAAGGAACTGGTTCATTCTTTGTCCATCTCCCCTAGACCTTTACTCCCTAACAGAATTTTGGCTAAAGAAGCAAGTTTTCCATTTCTTTTTTTTCTAAGCAAACATGAAAGTCACCATATGATGGAACTGTATACAGGTCCTTTGTGGAAAGAATTCACTGCATTTTGTCTGGCACTGTAACATGGTGTACATTTCAGCTAATCCTTCTCAGTAGTAAATAAATTCATGACAATGGTATTTTTATGATGTCTGGATGTGTGTGTTTAATATTTCAGGTAAAGCTTTTAGTACTATTAAAAAACACCTTCTTTGTTGTTTCTGATTAGTTTCAAGAATCTGATGATTTTTTTTTTCCCTGCTGTAATACTGTAATAATGTCTGTGATTTTTTAAAAGTTCTGAAAATGGGTTTCCATTTTGTGAACAGATACAAAACATTATTTAATTCCTTTAAAAACTGGAATTCACTGTTGGGCCACACAGATCACGGAAACAGAAATAAAAATACATTTGTTTATCTACTTATAGCTGTTTTGCTGTTTTTGCAGGTATTTGTGTGTCTCTTGTTAAAATTAACATTTTCCATTACAACATTACAGGGGTTTCAATAATTCAGTGATCATTTACACTTCAGCAGAGTCAACGATGGAGTAATAGGGTATGTGCCAGAAATCAATGTTTTACTTCCCAGTTTAGTATGTGGAGGAAATCGTATGCAATACAGTATATTTCTGGTTGCATTAGGTTCTGTTTTGTGAATTAGGTTCGAGTTCAGCAAGATACTTAAAAGTATGGTTGGTCCTCTTGGAGCTAGTGAGCTGTTCAAGTGCTTAGAATTGTAGATATCCTTACTACCCTGATTTTAATGCTATCTGAGAGTGAGACAACTCATTTTGTTAGTTCTTTTACACAAAACACATTAATATCAGTTTTATCGTGTTGATTAATGTACTATCAGAGAAGTCAGGCAGATTTATAATAATGAAGCTGTCTTGTTAATGTTTCATGGTGAACAGATTAACAATTGTCTCCTACTCTTGCTTCTCTGTGTTCTGATTAGAGGTAATGGGCATCTAGGTTATTGCAGACTCTTTTTATACTTAGGAATCTGAGCAGGATGCCAAACATCTGAATCCCCTTGACATTTTTAAAACACATGCATAGATTTGCTGCACAGCACGTGGGCAATGGAGTCCAACATTTCCGGGGGGGGTAATATCATGTGCTTCTAGTCCCCTGTGAACACACAGAGCAAAGGATGATAGTCCTTGTTCTGTCTTGTGCAAACTGCTCACACCATCAGCTATTCTGATCCTTTTTAGAAGTGCTGGGTAGACAACGCACACGTCTTGAGTGACTGACTGTTGTGTGGAAGCACTGAATGTACTACACATTTCTGCACGTGCAATATCCAGGTTTTGCTGTGTGCTGGGAGCCAGACACATCCCGGCAGGGCAGATTTGCTGAACATGTGCAGGCTGTCTGCACAGTGCGTGCAGAGCAGATCTGACACTTCCTAGAGGCGCTGGGTTGGTACCAAATAGGCATGTACTTTTCTGCCTCAGGGACCCAGAAATACGGTGCCCTGAAGGGTTTCTGTTCTGCCTGAAGGGACTTTCACTGCCTCCCCACACAGCAGAACAGCACTGCGAGGCTTAATCCACTTGCGCAGGTTAAACATCCTGGGATTGCCAGGTGGTAGTTGTGGTAGTGTGCAAGATAGTACTATTATGCCATCCAGACTCCTCATGAATTCATTACGTCAATTTACGAGGGATGACTGCAAATGCGGTAAGTAAAGGCAACAGCAATAATGTAGAAAAATTTTCTAGGGGAAAAAAGTAGTTATCAGCATTCCAAGGGCTTAAACCAAATGCAGAACAGGTAACAGTCACTAATAGCTTACAGTGTTTGTCATTACACTTACTTTGCTTTAATCAGTAGAAGTGCTGTTTTCATTGTTGAGTGCACTTGAAGGATAAGATACTGTTTTCTCCACCTTCTTACAGAGGGCCTCCTGCCTGGCTCCTGATAGCCTAGACCTTCTTTCCACATAAGCCTCACTCTTCTGTTTGACCTAAAGAACAGTCCTGGGCAAGTTTGGGTCTGCCAAGTCTTACCCACATCTGACTCCTCATTTAATAACACCCTGCTCCGGTATCTCACCTTCATGCATTTGCAGTGCTGTGTTCCAGTCCCTCTCCAGCACTGTGCACCAGCGGAGGCAGCTGCCAGCATAATTCATCACCTGCTTAGGGGCACAAAGGGACAACTGTCCCCCCTGCCCTGTTCCTCCTCCCTGTGGGGCTGGTTGTGTGCTACTCCATGTACAGTCACATCCGGACCTCACACACCGAGACAGGCACTGTGGTTGTGCTCTGTCCCAAGGGGTATGTGTGTGCTAACTTTGTTGCCCAAAGCCCAGCCACAGCCCCAAAGCTGGTAATAAATCTGGCTTTGATATAACCAGGGTAAGTCTGATCCCAGCTGAGGCACTGGGGAGGAGCAGGGGCACAGAGGTACTCTAACGTCATTTTAGACAGCTGAGGGTCTCAGAGACATCTGCATAGACCTGGCAGATGTGACATTCCTTCACTTAGAGCAGAAACTGGTGGCCAGTAAGGCCATGCTACAGCATCTCAAATGGCCCTAGGTCTTGTGCTTTGGCACCTTATCCACTCCCTCTGTATCTTCATGGTCCTTCACAGGGGGCCTCTTCTACACCTTAGAAATGCAGTATTGCTTATTAGCCATTTGCACACTCTACAAGCAGTAGTTCTGCAGCTCATTAGCAGCAGTGGTGGGATTCTTTGGTTACCCTTACGTGATCTTCTGAAAGTGATCTAACATTAATTAGATATTCATTAGAGAAAGAGGGGCAAAATGATTCTCTATAATTTTCTCAAGGAGTAAACCCAACATTTTTTCCCTGTGTACTACAGAGCTAGGTGACAGCACAGTAACTACAGCAGGTGAGAGGCCTGCAGAAAGAATTTGCAAATAATTAATATCCCTAAGAATATGAGGAACAGTAACTTGGGGAGGACTGAATAGGGAGCCTGGACAATCAGGAAGGAATAAAGAAAAGACAGAATTCTCAAACAAATATTTTATTTGCACCAGCTTACAGCAGGAATGACACAGGAAAAAAAATCTACAGCAGTTTTAATCATTGTCTGGTAGCAGAAGCAGTCTCCTGTGAGAAGCAGAGTTACTAAGAGGGAAATACAGGATTAATTAGATTAATTAAATAGCAAGAAAGCACCCAAGTTTAGTTGAGTGAAGTCCTCCAGAACTCCTGAATTAATGTTTACACCACATAAGACAGGCCAGTAAGTTAGTAATAATTATTTTGCTGCCTTTCAAATTTTGCAATAGAAGGAGGAGGCGCTGCATGAAGGTCTGAGCGATACACCAAGCTGATCATTCAGTCTGGGGAGAGCTTTCATGACTTAGTTGAGCTTCATTTTGTTTTCCAGGAATGTGTGATACTGGTGGAAAGTCTGAAAAACAGACTTCACACAAAGGGAAAAGTTTCTTCTTTCTTCTGGCTCTCCCATTACTCGGTTAATCACTGGGTTAATGTATTGAGCAAATAAACAGTACTTTTTAGATTATTTTGCCACAGCTATTTAACCAGCTGCCTTTCAAATGCAGAGCCTGGAATTTCTGGGTCTTGCCCAAGGTTATGCGTACAGAGACACTCCATAAGCCACAATAAACATTTTATTCAGCTCAGCATTTGCTGTCATGACTAATGGGATACAGCTATTTGCAAGGTTATTTGATTCTTACACAATCTTGTTACCAACTCTTTGAAGAAACCCTAAACCTTTGTGGACTCTGTAAATACTGATGATCCCTTCCATGTGTATGTGTGTAGAGGATTTTTCTCTAGGGGCAAGCAATCTGAGGTGACTCCATTCAGAGAGCAGATCTTTCAAAACCACAGTCAAAGCATTGCCTGACCCTGCCAAATCCCTTGGAAAGCTGCTTGTGGTCTGTGTTACATGTTAGAGGACTATTGAATTCTGCTGCTCTCTAAAGGGCCTGGTTTAAGGGGATTGGCACCCATGCAAATTACACTCCAACACAAGCATAATATATCTAGAAAGAGGGATGAGCATCAAAAGTGTAAACTTGGCTGATCAAAGTTATTTAGTTTAGCCAATACTTATGTCCAACTGTGAGGAACAGCAGCAATAGCTGGAGAAGAGAACTGAAGAATGGGTAGGGCAGATGCAGGTCATGTTGGTGATTTAAGCACAAAATAATGTTCATTGGAGGGAGAAAGCTAAACTACTCACACAGGTTATGGGACTTTACAGGTCCCTCTCCAGTTCATACCTAGCAAGTTCAACAGTATCGCTCACACCTCATTGACTTCTGTCCTCTCCGGCATGGTCATCTGAAACACTCACCTGCTGTCTGAATGTGAGGTGGATGTTCTCCACGGGACATGCCATGGGCCCACTCCTGGACAATTTGGACTAGAGGGCACGGAGGA